GAAAGTAGTTCTCTTCTCAAAGATAAACTGTGATGATTTGTATAAACAGTCACCCAAGATAAACCACACACCCCAAGGAAACCCCACTCCTGCATGCCCACATTTTTCTCAGAGCCAAGTATAAAAACACAAAGCAAACTATTGGCAAGTCTACTTAATGTTGTTCTCAGATCTCACTAAGGCCCAGCCTTTCCTCTAGCTCCTAGCCTATGCTTCTCCTTTGGTTGGTACCTTATCTTTCCTCCAGTTCCCACCCTGCCTCATCTCCAGTTTCCTGGTTCCAAGCATGGATTTTTTGCTTGCCCTTTGTGCTTCAGTTCTGGCCCAGTCCTTTGTCAACAGCCCAATTCTAACCATTACTCCAGACTACCCACGTCTGGCTTACAACACATGCATGGTGTAATAATAACATATTCCCCTGAGGCAAAGGATGTGTACGTGAAAGGCAACAGGTATTGGATACTGTGGTGATACGCAGGAGCAAGAAATGAACCAGGGAACTGGGTGGGCAGCTCGCAAGTGGCCAGTCTTCCCACAGGGCTAGCACTTACTGTTTCTTATAACAGTTCCTACCGTTTTGCCATTTCTTCCTGCTTCTGGGTAATATCAGCCAGCATATCATTTGTAGAAGGCAGTTCATTCAACCCTAAGAAAAAAACAAAAGCCCAATTCTGAAAGATGTTCAAGGTAGTGCTTTCAAACACAGAGCTGAGGACTCCAGAGCAACCAAAAGAACAGAGAAAATAGCTCTAGGGAAGAAGAATCTTTTTGCTTTCTATCCTAACTCACATTTTGCTCCAAGTGAAACCCCACAGAGTGGAGGCTCTGGAACCCTTGTAAAAACCTCATGATGACAGGACACTGGATATTCAGGAAAGATGTTAGACTTCAAAACTTAGGGGAGCAAAGAAGTGGGGCAAGAGCCAAGGTACAAACAGAGTAAGAGAGAGACTCTAGCAGAAGAGAGAGGGATGGGATAGGGTAGGGTGGGGTGGGGGAGAGAGCGAGAGCAAGCAGGAGCAAGAGAGCAAGCCAAGAAGAGCCTGTAGGCAAACCAAAAGCAGAGCTGGTAATGGCCTTTGTAAGGGAAATGAAATGTTTCACTGAGAGAGTCTAAACAAAGCATGCAGGCCCTTATGCATCCTATAAAAGCAAGACAACGCAGTGCAAGAAAATTCCCTTTAAATTGAAAGATGGCACGTGACACAGGAAAGAATAACAGCAAAATTGGGGGATGGTGATGTTCTGGGGCTTTCTTTAGAAGTTCTGAAATACCTGGGTTTTTACCCAGAGGCTGCTAAACAATTCCCTTGGGATTATGGCTTACATACCCTTGAACACACGTGTGGCCCAGCGACCCTGAAGCTCTGAGGTAGGCATGAGGGCCCCCAGTGGCTGAACGAAGCCGATGAAAGCCAACGTTGGCTTTTCCAGGTCAGGCGGAAAGACAAGCTTGTACAGGGAGACCTGGTTATCAACCACTTTGAGGCAGTCAAGAAATGGGAAGGAGAACTTGTATCCTGTAGCGAAGATAACCACATCGATGTTGTCTTCTCTGGTGCCATCCTCAAAGATGGCAGCGGTTTCAGTGAACTCGCTCACATTTGATTTCACCCGCACTTTGCCAGCGATGATGCGGTTTGGCAGATCATCGTTGATGGTTGGATGCTGGCTGAAAAACCTGAATGGCATAGAAAGGGGTACAAAAATGTCCAGATTGGTTTGAGCAAGAAGTGACATGGCTCAGGCCTGGAGGCTGTCAGGAGAAAAGAAAACTCCCTCCTCCCTCCGTTGCATGGACCAGCACATCATGGGAATGCCCCAACAGATCATCCAGTCCACCTTGCTGCATGGCCAGTGTTTCTTCACACAAGGCATTTCCTACAGCTTCTTTCAGTCTAGTTTTCAGACCATCTGGGTTTCCATTGCTTCTCTGGGTAAGTTCTTTGGGACCATCTGTTTATCCTATGCTTGCATAGTACTTAGCACCTAGGGATCTGACCAGGTGTGTTAGGCACTATGAGAATACACATAACGCAATATGAATAAATAACCATGAAGGAACACAAAGCCATTACACTCCAATTAACTGCATGCTGGTCCCACAGCTCAGCTTCTTCCCACCTCTTAAAGCTCTACACAGAATTGCTCCTGTTGGATCAGGAGACACCTTGCTATTTGTGAGAACTTGAAAAAAAATACTTTACTCTATTTCCTGATATGCTATTTCCAAGTGCAATCTCTGACTATGGATAGAGGGAGCTTTTAACTGCTGCAAAAGGGGAGAGGGTGCTGCCTCTGCAGCACAGATTGGCTGTTAGGCTGTAATTGTTGCCTCTGAATGCCCCCATAGCCACATGAATTAGCTAAGTCAGGGCTGTTTCATTTCTAAGAGGCCAGGGTCTGCGTGCCCCTCAGGCTATTCTAGCAGGGGCCACACCAGCAGAGGCCACAGAGCTTGAGAGCTGCATGTTCCCCTCTGCTGCACCACATGTCCAGCTGCCCCCTGCACCCCCCTGCAGCTGTTCCTCATACCTCCCATTGAATTAGGGGCCCAGGTACTCCTCTCCCACTGCAAACCATGCCCTCTGCTGCACCATGTACCACCCCACTGCTGCTCCCCATGCTTCCCTGCTGCACCACATGCCCAGGCACTCTGATTCATCCTTAGTTCCCTGGCCGTGAGCTCCCTTGCTGCACTGTGTCACTCAGGCACCCTGGATGCCAAGCTCTCCTGCACTGCAGGCTGCACTACTCTGTACCATCCCATCCCATAGGGCAGGGGAAGCCAGAGGGAAGGAGAGCTTAGAATCCCCACTTGTTGCTTCAGCTGGGACAGTGTCAGGGACCTAGGCCTGGTGGAAGTTTGGGGCCACAATTTAACCTGTTGCAGGCTGTGTGGCTCATAAGCCAGCAGTTGGGCAGCCATAATTGTAATCACTGTAAATTTAATCCCGAATGAAACAGCAGCAGTTCTGCTACATTTGTATAGCTGCAGGAGCTGCAGGCATACATCGTACAGTTACCCATCAACCAGATGTTTTCACATCTGCACAGAAGTCAGTCCCAGTTACTGCAGCTGCTCAGTGTATTGTTTAAGAGCTCACCACTACAAGTTCTTCCCAATATCCAGCTTAAATGATCCCTTTTTTAATGTCATCCCAGAACTACTCTGTCTATTCCCATGTATCCTGCTAAGTCACTCTGCTTTGCATTTACAATGGACAGGGGAGTTTGAAAGCAGTGGAAAGGCTGTTGTTTTGTGTATTGGATGTAGAAGAGGAGACATACTCCAGGAAAGGCCAGTTACAAGACTGACAAGATCTGGCAGAGTAGCAAGAGGGACAGCTGCGCCCAGGCAACAGAAAACAAATCTGTTGACAGCAATGGAACTGATATTCATGCCCTGGGGCTGTAGTGTGAGTGGTCAGAGACCTTACATTCTGTCCTGGTGCCCATTACTCTATACCCCCTTTTGGTCCTCAACATGTCCCAGATTTCCCCCATTCCATAGAGTCCATTTAAAGGGAGATGATCCAGGCTTGCTGGACACTTTACATATGTTCACAAAGAATTCCAGAAAGATGCCTTTTCCTTCCTAGCTCCCACAAGGAAGTCACCCGGACTCCATAGCTCACCTGTGCTTAGGCTGTAGGCCATAGAGGGCATGGTTGAAAGCTTTATTCAGTTTCTGTTCTGCATAGTAGTTCACCATAGTGAAAGGCAGAATGTCCAAGAGAAGCTTGAAGAAGCGAGTGACATAAGCTGCATCCGTGGGGTACCCTTCTTCCAAGATCCGCCTCTGTACCCATGCACCCCGCCTGGTGCTAAGCAAGACCTGAAGGAGATAACGGTAGAAGAACCACTGAGAATCAACAGGACATTAAATGACTTTCTGATAGAATCTTTGGGTGAGAAATGTTCTGCTGGCAGCAAGGAGTTCACAGATATCTGCATTTCATTATAATTCCCTAGCTTGGGGCTTCTAAATTCATTAAAGAGCAGAGACATTTAAGCATCTTCATTGTACCCATAGGCTTCACTGGCCCAAAAACCAGACACCAGGTGCAAACACAGAAGAAGAGGCTTGAGGAAACAATAAGGTGAAGCTGGTTGGCATGTTGAGCAACTGCCCAGATGTTTCTGAGGCTTTTGCAAGGATCACAGTAAAGGAAAGCTTTAAGGAAGGACCTGAAGCAGGGCAAAGAGATGGGGCTTGTAGCTGGTCATGGGGAACTTGCCCCACATGGGAAAACACACCCAGGAGCTTGTTTGACAGTTTTGTAAGTGGGCATTAATGCTGAAATCAGGGACAGAATAGAGGTGGGCATTGTCATCTTGAGAGCCATGGGCATGATAAGCAGGTCACTCACCCAGTTGCTTTATCTAAGTCAGTCCACTCTGTATTCAGGGTTTCCAACAGAGGTTGCCCCATTATTTTACTTTGGGCAACCTCATCCTCACAATAAATGAAACAAAGAAACAACCTCCAAAACCTGATGTCTTCCTTCAGCCTTTGAGAGGAATGACCTAGGTTCTGTGTTTTTTCCTCAGCACTACAGCCTCCTTTCTCCCTTGTCTTCCACTCCTGGAGTTTTTAAGCCTCTTTGTAAGCCCTCTCTCATCTACTAGTCATCTACTGCAGCTTACTCCCAGCCTTCCAGCCAGGCAGACTATTAACTGCTAAACTTCTGTAACTGGATTTCATCTCCCTGAAGGCTGAGTAGTGAGCACCTCCTTACAGCGTGTCTACACCTAATCCTCAGCATTCCTAAAAAGGGACATTCTTGACCATGTCCTATCTACTACCCACTTGCATATGCCAACCCCAATAATGTGGTGATGAAGCCAATCCAGGTATGCTCCTGGCAACTACTCTCAAGACTTCCATCTCTAATGTGACTAGAAGATGCTACAGGGGATAGTTCTAGAGCAGCTTTGTTGTTGCATTTACAGGCCTAGTACATGCAAGAAGTGGATGTGCAGGCTGTCCTCAAGAAAATTCCTCCCAGGGAGCATGGGGGATACACAAGAGAGAGGGCAACTATGGTCTTGCAATAAAATTTGCCACCATTTTAAAAGAACATACCTAGTTTTAGCCTTCAGATCTCTGTGCAAAACCGCATGCAATGCAGTTAACTCTATCAGTAAAGCACAGACCTTACTGAACCCTGTGGGCAGGAAGGAAAGAATTAAGCTACTGGAGAGGAATCCTCTCCCTCCATGCAAAAGGTTATGGATAAATCAACAGCACTTCTATGGCATCAGAGATAGGTGCTTGTTGCTTGGTGCCAGAAGCAGATAATTAGCCCATGAAATAAATGAATAATAATTTCCACATTATGCCATGGCCCATGCCTAGACTAAGTTAACAAACTTTGTAAGGCTCTGAATCCGTTTCACCACAATCCTTCCAGCCAGCTGTGTCAGACAGCCATGGTCCAAGCAACAGGTCTAGCAGTGTTTTGTTTTACTATCATCCATTTTTCTATGCAAACCTGATCCTGCATACAAGCAGGGACTTGGAAACAAATGCCAAAGAGTCTGTGGAAATACAAGTCTGGTGCCTGCTACATACGTGCCAATATAGGCATTCCTTGTACAAGGGTTTGGTATGAATAACACCTTCTTTGTTTCTATAAAGCCATTCTTGCCCACCTCATGGAGCAGTTTCAAAGGGCAGGGCCACATTCTCTGCTGCACTGAGATCTGCTTATCACAGGCAATGAGACTATCAGGAAGCTTCCCCAACCACCATCCTAATCTAAATTAAAGCATCTTAATTCACATGCTGGTCACAGAGCTAACAGGCAACATCAGTTGGAAACTTGCAGAACAGATCTGTGCTGCAACATGCTCTGCTGTATGAGATGGGAAGGAAGCAGCTGGCATAGGAGCTGGCTCCACAGAGCTGCCCTCCCCTCTGGCATTCCCATCCCTCCAGCTGCAGTCATCATGACATGGTGAAGAGAATATGCTAATTTGAAACCGGATCTTAGGAGATGGTGTTACAGGATAGGAGATGTTAGTGAATGTGGTGGGGAGGGAAAGATGAAGTCAGACAGGAACAGGTGTGGACACGGGCTCCTGAGCAGATTAAGGGAATGGAGAGCTTATCATGTTAAAGGAGATTGCAAGAGCTTGGCTTGTTTAGCCTAGCAAAAGGAAGGCTATGACAGAATAGAACTGCTGCCTATAAATACTGCTGGGGATAAACACCAGGGAGGGGGAAGAGCTGCTTAAGCAAAATCACCATGTAGCACAAAAACAAATATGTCTAAAATGGCTTAGAGTAAATTTGGGCTGTAAATAATATGGTCTCTACCCATTAGACCAGTGAGTTTCTGGAGCAGCCTCACAAAAGGGGCACTGGGGCAAAAACCCCTACTTACTTATAAGGCAGATCTTGATAAGTATATAAAGTGGTTTATGTGACCTGGTGGCCTGTGATAGTAGAGGACAGAATTCAGTGACCCAGGAGGTCCCTTCCCAGCTTATGTTCTGATAAATTATTGAACAAAGATCTAAAGAACAGCAGTCATTGGGTGAATAGTGACCTTCTGCCTAGAACGTAGTCCAGATGACCTGTCTGGAGTGTAGAGTGTTCTGGGAAGAGAAGAGGGGACAGCAAGGGTTGGCTGCTGGTCCTGGAGGGTGGAAGAAGAGCCAAATGAATGAAGGGGAAAAAAGAAAGACTGGGTTCAGAGAGGGAAGCAATGAACATCTCACAGAGCATGAGGGTTTCTTTTGGAGATCATGCAGAGAGGTGGTATTGGCCACAGAACTTCTGTTTGCTGTGATTAAAAGAGAAGGCTAGGAGTTCTGTCAAGCCCAGAGTCAGCAAAAACACCAGAAAGAGCTGCTGGCAGTGCCCAGCATTCACATGTAGCAGAACAGTGGAAAGTATTATATTAGCCTGCAGGGAACACTGGTGTTGAATAGGGTATGCACACAAGAAGGGGAAGGTTGTAACACTTAATCTGAATTCCCTGTACTTTTCAGGAAGGGGCTCAGGTGATGAGGGATAATATGAACCAGACCTAGGAAAAGCCCTCCAGCCTTAGTGCCATTGGAGACTGTGTACTAGGTAGGGAACAACAGCAGATCAACCCAGCCCTGTTCACTCAAAAGGGAGTTTTAGTTTTAATCCGTGGTACTAACTGGTTTTATTGCTTGTAACACAGTGACAGTATGCCTTAATGCAGCATTCCACCCAGGGTGAGCTGCAAGCCTGATGTATTTCAACAGGGCCCATAAATTAAGCCAACCAAGTGTGAACTTGTGACAGTACAAAGGGGAAATCTGAATTGCTGGGCTGGGCTTTCCTTTCCTCCTCATCTCTACTTTTGGCAGGGGCAGTCTGCCTCTGTTCCACAGCAATTAATGGGGACTTCTCTGAGGGGCAGGGATCAAACAATGGAAGGGGTAAGATTGTCCTCTTCCAAGCCTGCTAGATGAGCTGGAGAGGCCCTGAGCGTGATGACACACTGGATGCGAGGTACAAGTATGAAGGGGGCAGAGTACCAGAGTGCTGAGTCAGTGACAGTCATGCACTATTCTGAATGTATAGGGGTTAAAGGTGATGGGGGACTTAATTCCCTGGAACAAACCTGATCTGCCACGTAACTGAGCTCCACAGCTATGTCCAGTCCTGAATTCCCAGTGCCAATCACGATCACTTTCTTGTCCAAGAACTCCTGGGAGTTCTTGTAATCCCGACTATGGAAGTAGCGACCTTTGAACTTCTCAATACCTGCAGGAAAGAGCAGAGCAGCTGTGGCCATGCATCTGGCTGTGCATTGCTGTGGGTCCTGAGATTCAAAGGCAGAGGGGGTGTTACAAGGGTCTCCAGCATTCTTTCAGACCAAGGCCAGGAGAGACCCACACATAAGTGGGAGAAAACAAAAAAATCTCAGTGGTCCATGTCCCTGGCATTTGTCATGTCATCATCTGGCTTGTTCTCCTGCTGATCATAGAGTTCCCTAGGACTAAACAATCCCAGCCCCACCTAGGTTTCCAGTGTAAAGGGCAGGCAGGAAAAGAGTAAGCCACACTTCCAAGCTTATTAAGCCTTCTGTGTACAAAAGGACACACAGAGGAGAAAGGTGAGGCTTTCCCTCCCCACCTCATCCTATTTCTGGGTTGCTACATTTTTTACACAAGGAAGGTGACCTGTTGTTGAGAGCTGGTGTTAACAGAACACCCTGACCTGGTGCTGAAGATAGTTTAACAGCCTAAGGCCATATGGAGATGTGGCTGTGCTACATGCTTGCATAACAGCAGCAGAGAAGATACAGGGACACAGGATTTAATATCTGCTAGTAGCAACCACAGTACTTACCCTGGATTACTGGAAAGTTTGGGCCCTGGTTTGCTATACCTTCACTGCCTGCTGTTATCCCTGCCAGCTAGATGAAGATAGTATAGGTAAGCCAGCACGTACCCCAATTACACCTTATTTTGCTAAGAGAACATACCCTGTAGTTGAGCTCCCTACTCCCACACTGCTCCCATCTCAGGTACAGCACTAAGCAGTAGCTTTATAAACAGCATTTTCAATGGTACCTAGGGTTAAGCCAGTCCTAACTGAATGCTTTGGAAAGTCTAGACACCCAAGACAAGAAGCCTCTGCGGATATGTCACCTCCTCCATCATGTAACTCCTCTAGACCTGCGCCTGATGAGGGGAAGGATACACTGGGATCAAAACATAGTGTATAAAGAGGCAGAGAGCCACAAGGGGGTGTTTTATTGCACTTTACAACATACCTGGAAAGGACTGCAGTGGTAAATGGGCGTCAGAATGGTGACCACTGCAAACTAGGACTGCATCAAAGATGGCCAACTCCTGCTTCCCATTGTTCTCTGTAACAACGTCCCACTGGCCCGTAGTAGAGAAATCTGGGCGTTTTGTCACAGAGCAAACGTTGGTCTGAACAAAAAAGACAGGCATCAGGGCATTTCATCCTTTCTCTTGGAAATGAGCCCCCAGAAAGAGCCTCCTACCTCCACTCCCTACCAGACTTACTATCTCCTCCAAAAAACATAAGGCCCAAGCATACCTCAGATCCCCAGCATCAGGCCCTTGAGGTCCCTGCCAGCCTTTACACTGCTGGCATATCCATTCCTGCAGGCTCCCACTGAGAACCAGGCAGCAGCAGCTTCTAGGAGCTGGGCTGTGGCTTCATCTCAGGTAGGCCCCAGCTGAAGGGAGGTCAAAATACAGCTCTTTCACTTGGGCAGGGGTCCTCAAAGGACAGCAGGGGGTCCTGCCAGGCTCTGACCACCCAGGACTGCTGTTGAATGCAACTGGAACAGGAGGAAGGCTATCTCTGGGGCCTCTGAAACATGACCTGCCGAATCTTTCACTACTTAACGAGGGCATCAAGTTTCATTGATGGCAAGATTCTTCCATGCAGGACCTGCTCACCTGATCACATATGCATGTCCCTGGGCACACACATATGCAGACAAATGCACAGGGAGGCACAGTGTTCCCATCCTCCCCACAAGCACCCTCTCGCCATGACAGCTCTTCCCCTCACCTTGAAGCGGATGTACTTAAGAAGGTCGAAATGCTTAGCATACATGTGGAAATACTCCATGATTTTGAAGTTGTGCATGTAGTTGGGAAAATCCTCCTGGATGGGGAAGTCACTGAAGCACATAATTTCCTTGGAGGTATTGATAATGACTGATTTGTAGATACTGGCCCTGCCCTCTTCAGGATTTTTCTGCAGGGAAAAGGAGAATTGTTATAGAATCGCAGGGTTGAGAGTATCATCTAGGATCATACACTCTCACTCCCTAAAATAACAAACTACTTTTGGAGAGGATGGGTTTGGAACCTACAACTTCTGCCTTTCAAAGCAAATGTAGCACATTTCTGGGTTCATGGCCAACAAAGTAAAACTCTTGATCAGTGATTCTCATCCTGGGCTGTTGTGGGATTTCTTTAAGGGTTCCACAGGGCCTGGTCCCTGTGTGAGGAGGTCAGTGTTTGCTCCCAAAGTGGCCTCAATGGGGTATTTTCAGGTTGGGAACATATATATGGGAGGGGGAGGCTTGTTCAGGAACCCCCTGGCTTTCCCTCCACAACCCTGATATTCTGTGGGGGCAGAGGAAATTCCAATTTCTTTCCACTTTAGTGCAACTGGATGTGTTTCCATGGGAGACCCCAGATCACAGCTCAGATCATGCAGGGAGCCAGAGCACCTGACACCATCTGCAGGGGGAACAAGGCCCACACACCCAAAGATTGCCAGTCTGCCAGCCAATGGTTCATCTATCCCTGCAAAATATTGAGATCTGGCTGATGTATTTGATAAGAAGGGGTGAACCAGCTTCTTCCACATCATCCATACAATTTCCTCACTGACATCTTACCAGGGGTACAGTTTCTGTCTCTAAGCCTGAACTCAAGGCTCTAAAACAGTGGTCACCAACCAGTGGATCTTGATACACCAGTAGATGTTGGAGCCTCTTGTGGTAGATCTTGGAGCCTCTTGAAGTTGATCCGAGGGTGGG